CTGAAGCAGCAATAAGTCTATATACCCTATCTAATAACTCTACTGTTTAACATGTTACTCTTAATAATTGCAATATATGATTGCTGTTTTGTAGGGTCAGAACCTGATCCTGAACATGAACGACCATGGATTTGTGGTAAGTTGTCTCCTCACTTTATAAATAGCCATGTTCTGCATTGAATAACTAGAGATTTGGTACAAAAGGACTTAGTAACCTCAACATCATTCCCAAGCATTGAATAATTCTCCAGGAAGACTGGAGTTTTCTTGAAAAACCCAGCAATGTCACATCTTTTAATACGTCTGCTTGATACCTATCAGATATCTTTAAACAATCAAGGGAGAATTAGAGTCGCTAGCTGGAGTACTGCTTTGCGCCACTCTGTGTAGGTACTAGACAACCTGGCTAAACGTCTCTAAGTTTGTACCCCCCTTGTCTCAGATCCTCACTGGGTTTGACATTCTTGTCCAAGCAGCCCTCTTGATCTACTGTATACATCTGTTACCCTCCAGGTCTGTGCCTTTAACCGTACGGTGTCCAAAGTGGATGACTTCCTGGCTAAGGAGGCGAAGGGGACGAAGGTTGTGGGCGCTCGCTCGCTGGAGGAGATGGTCGCGATGCTGAAGAAGCCCCGGAGGGTCATGATGCTGGTCAAGGCTGGGTCAGCAGTTGACGCCTTCATCGACAAACTGGTGGGGAACTTTTCATTTCTACTCTCAAACAAACAAACAAACAACAAACAAATTCTTGCATGCAGAGGTATTGTTTAGGGTGGCAGAACTGGGATATTGTGTGTCTGTCCACATTAAAGGTTGACAGCATGTGGGTGGGGGGAAGACTGACAGGCAGAATGGCAAGAAATCAAGAGGTCAGAAACAGGAAATGGCTCTGCCGTCCCGGTAAATTCAGGAAGTCGTGGATAGCATGATGTACCAGTACCTTCCAATACTTCCCAGCAGTCCGAAATGTCTGATTGTTCCACGAGCAACGATCAGGCAGGCCTAGGCTAGCGCTGGCCACCAGGAGCATGATTTAGTCAGGCTCTAGCGTCTACGTGTTGTTCAGGCTGTCCACTGTGTTCATTGCAAAATGTGATCATCAGATGTTTCTGCATTTCCTCAGGTCCCTCTGCTAGAGAAGGGTGACATCATCATCGATGGAGGAAACTCCGAGTACACAGACTCCAGGGTAAGTCCTTTTTATATTCTTTCATATTTACTTCCTTGTAGGAAAAGGAAACATTTTGTTATTGTACAAGTAGTAAAGGCTGTAAAGGAAATCATATGTCCTACTCTAACTAACTCCTTGTAACCATTATTTTCTCCCCTATAGAGAAGGTGTGCAGCTCTGAAGGAGAAGGGTCTGCACTTTGTGGGCAGCGGGGTGAGCGGAGGTGAGGAGGGGGCGAGGTACGGACCTTCCCTCATGCCTGGGGGATCTCCTGAAGCCTGGTGAGTCCTGGGGGGATTTGGGAATGTGCACTGTTGTTTTACAGTATTAGTGGTAACTGTCTTAGTTTGAATAGATAGAGCTGTTGGTTACCTTTACAAAGGACTCAATTTAAGTTGGTTATGCCCCTTCTCAAGGAATAGATATGTGATGACAATTGTATATGATCATAAGTCATTGATGAATTCTGAGATGCACCTGTCTTCTCTGGTTTTTCCCAGGCCACACATCAAGCCAATCTTCCAGAGTGTTGCAGCCAAAGTTGGCAAAGAGCCTTGCTGTGATTGGGTAGGTACAAACGTATCAACCAATCAACAACTGAATGATATGACTCTCAGCATACACATCAAACTGTTGTACCCACAGAATATGGTCACATTGCTGTCAGAAGACAGAGGCATTACACTCACTCACTCACTCACTCACTCACTCACTCACTCACTCACTCACTCACTCACTCACTCACTCACTCACTCACTCACTCACTCACTCACTCACTCACTCACTCACTCACTCACTCACTCACTCACTCACTCACTCACTCACTATCCGGTTTATCATCTGTTGCTCCCCGACTTCTGAGAGTCAGATGTGCTTGCACAGCAATACTTGCTTAAAACCCTGCCATGTACCTGCTACTAATGTAGCATTACCCATGTGATGCCAATGCAACCAAGTAAGGGCAACAAAGTAGAGATTAGATGTAGAAGTTAAGATGAAGATGAGGAATGTGTTACATGAAACAAATTGAGATGACGGAAAAAATTCAGGCTGGCTAGAACACTGCCTTAACACTAATTCAGTAGCATTTTGACAAAGGCACACAGCAAGAAGTGAGGAGTTAAGATTAAGGTTGAGAATGTTTTGTCCCTCCATGCTAGGTTGGTGAGGATGGTGCGGGCCACTTTGTGAAGATGGTTCACAACGGGATAGAGTACGGAGACATGCAGCTGATCTGTGAGGCCTATCATCTCATGAAGGATGTGCTGAAGATGGACAACGATGAGATGAGCCAGGTACGACATAGTCCATTTTAGTTCTGATGCTTTTAACTGTCTTACCGAAACTGTAGTTGTTAGTAGTTAAGATGTTTCATAGAATTCCCTCTTGGCATGGGGTCCAGTGAAAAAATAATCCAGAATTATGTACTAGTAATTTCACAGCAGCAACAAGCATTGTTTGCACTTGTACCAAACAGTGAAAAGTATGTATGGTGTGCTTCTTCCCTCACCAAAAATGTGTGATCATGTGACTCCACTTGACCAGTTAAAGTTTAGAATGCATCATCATGTGACTCCATCTGACCAATCAACCTTGCCCTTTCTGCAGGCGTTTACTGAGTGGAACAAGAGTGAGTTGGACTCGTTCCTGATCGAGATCTCGGCAAACATCCTGAAGTTCCGCGATGACGATGGGAAACATCTGCTGGACAAGATCAGGGATGCTGCTGGACAGGTCAGGAGTCTTAAGTTTTTTATTTTATCTCATTTTACTTCATTGACTAGAAAGTGATATTGAGAACAATGATGATGGCTTGTATAGCATAGTCAACTTTCATAACTCAATACCCCAAGACTTTCACATTAAAAGACAATGTTATCAAGGCCTTCTCAAAAATGTCTTGGCTTGAACACTTGGACATCTAAAGTTTGCATACGTGGAGGATTACTGATAGTGCATTAGTATTTGTACTTCAAATCAAGTCAATGTGTATATTCTTTCTCCACAGAAAGGAACTGGGAAGTGGACGGCTATCTCAGCCCTGGACTATGGCATGCCAGTCACCCTCATAGGTCAGTTGACTGATTTGCCATCATAAGCATCCAATCAATGCACTTCTAACTAATCATGTTGAGGTGATGAAAAACCTCTATCAGCCCATTAAAACAGATCAACAGTGATTAAGAGCACAACCATCGCACATAAATATTCCATGTTATATAGGTTCTTATACTGCACATAGATGAAAATACTATTAATACTAGATAATATTGCACATGTATATTCTAATACCACATGTTTCCCCAGGTGAGGCTGTGTTTGCCCGTTGTCTGTCCTCCCTACAACTGGAGCGTGTGGAAGCCAGCAAACAGCTCCCCGGCCCCAACGCACCCACGTCCAAAATAGACAAGCCTGCTTTTGTCGAGCAAATCAGAAAGGTGCTTCTTATGTCTTTATCTGGACACAGAGCTTTGAAAAGAAACTGTCACTGAAGTATGTTGCAATGAACTGCTATGAAATGGCAGCTGTAGTAGATCAGCTCATATAAAGCATACATAATATGCAATATTTGGTGCTAATTACTCAGTGTTAAAGACTGTAAAAAACATCTTGAAGCCATTATGATGTCTTTGGCTTCACCAATTCACTACATAAGAGACCTACTCAACCCTCATATTGGGGATTATGTGCTAAGCGGAAAATCATGCTGGCATATAGAAACACTGTTCACTATTTCTTGTCAGACCAAATTAGCTAATAGCAGGTACCGATAATGAAGAAGAGATCTAGCTCAAGTACTTTGTATGGAAGTTCCCAGTTTAGTGTCATTTTAATTCCTGTAATAAACTACTTATTGTACCCCCCAGGCCCTGTATGCCTCCAAGATCGTGTCCTACGCGCAGGGCTTCATGCTTCTCCGCGAGGCAGCGAGACAGTTCAGCTGGAACCTGAACTACGGAGGCATCGCTCTGATGTGGAGGGGAGGCTGTATCATCAGGAGGTGAGGGTTTGAAGGGCGAGAGATATGCTGGGTGCACAATTATGCACTTTTGTGTAATTAGAATTAAAGCTGTGCACTTTTTACTCGGTACACTGGTGCAGGCTGGTGCACCTAGATATTTGTGTAGGGTTACATATGTAAAGCTGCTATAAGTTCAGCATACTGATGACAGTGTCAGGCAAGCAAAAAAAACTTTGGGTGTAGTGCACTATGGTGTTAAGAGTGGACATATTTAGTACCAAGGACAGCAACAGTAGTGTTAGTGTGGGCATGTTCAGCACTAAGGACAGGGACAGTAGTGTAAGTGTGGGTATGTTCAGCACTAAGGACAGGGACAGTAGTGTAAGGCATGTTCAGCTGTTTTTTTACTGTACACTGTGGCCCAGATGTTTTCATGCATCTCTGTAACCGCATTTTGTCAACCTTTCACAGCCGTTTCCTTGGTAACATCAAGGAGGCTTTCGACAAGAACCCCAACCTGACCAACCTGCTGCTGGACGACTTCTTCAAGACGGCCATCGCCGACTGCCAGGTGGGTAAAGATCTTTAAGATCCTGGCTCTTAAAATGAACTTTGTCTTTCCCTCTAAAGTATCTACTGTACTTCTTTTCCCTAGCCTGCACTTCTTCTCGTGGTCAACAGGTGTCTCTTGTAAGACTGTAGCTGATGACCTCCCTCCCGTATGCATGTGTTGAATTGTTACATCCTTGGTACAAATAAGTGTGCAAAAATGTTAAGTAGGGAACAGTAAAAAGTAAAGAAAGAGATAGGAAGTCTTTTTGTTACATGTACAAATGTAGCTTGGATGAAATTAGTGAAGTGTGGGGAAGTAAGTTGGGAAACCTTTCTATAGAGCCATGACAAATATCATCTTTTGTAATAAAATAATTAATATGAAAAATCTGAATTCTTGTGTGCCCAGGAGTCCTGGAGGCAAGTGGTGTCCATGGCAGTGACAGCAGGAGTGCCTGTCCCAGCCTTCAGCACTGCGCTGGCGTTCTATGATGGCTACAGGTCTGCCAGGCTGCCTGCCACCTCATCCAGG